TATCAACGCTGCTGCTCTTGGAGATATTTCGTAAAAAATGAGCATAAAATATAAAGCAGCACCATCAGTAGCTGTGATGGTATACGTGAGATGTATTGTAGCTATTGTGGGAGATGCAGAAATTCAGGCGATTGTCATGTCATAAAGTGTTACAGGTAGGCTGTGAACTTAACATATCGGCATGACGTATTTGGTAGATTATTTTAAATTGCATGTCTGGATTCAGTCTCTTTATAATCCTTGTAGTTGGCACCGTTATACAAAGAATGAAAGGCCAACAAATTAAAGGCATAGAACTGAGCAAACTAATTAAAAGTAACTGACTTATTTACAAAGAATTATGAATTACATTAGTGTTATCTGTATTGTTTCAGAATTATCAAGAAGCGGTACAATGAAGTGAAACACTTGTGCTTTGCATCACTCAAAATGAATTTGTAATAAATGTATCTATGTTTTCATGTAATACAATTTTTATACCATTGTCAACAGCATATGAATATGTTTTGAAACTAAATAAATTTGGTGCTTCATAATTAGGGTTACATTTTATTATTCTGAACCTTTTTCTCTGAAAAACTGCTGAAAGAGATATTACCCTTATTGGGGATATTTTATGAATATATATATGTTCAATATTGTAATATAATTTTCTACAGATGTCAAATTATGAACAAACGAAATCCCCGACAGCCCTGCACATTCCTAGCATTCCTTATTCCGGCATTCTTTCGATAGTTCCTCCAGGCATTTAGGCAGCGGAACCACTTGACAAAACGTCAACGGTGTTGCCAGTGTTTAACGTACGGCTCCCACGTCTTCAGTCTTGTGTCTTGTGGTACCGGCTGGACAGCCATAAGCAATGGAGCCTTTCGTCGCCGACAGGTGCGAAATTCGTGCCGTCATCCGATTTTTGCACGCAAAAACGTTACCGCCCATAGAAGTTCACCGCCAGTTGAGTAAAGTATACGGGAAATGCGTATAAACATTCAACATATCCTCAAATGGTGAAGACAGTTCTTTGACGGCCGCATGGACTTCCACGGAGCGGGAGTGTTTTGTGGAGCAGTCCTTTATTAGTAAGTTCGGTGGCCGCATTCAGTTTATTTGCAAGCGTCTTACAGTTCACGTGGTGTAAACAAATTTAAGACGAAACATGAATCAAATCCAAGCGAATAACCAAAATTTCTGTGGTATGTACCGCGGTTATAATAGGATGGAACCATGGCTTTGTAGCTATGGTAACTTTCAATTCTCCAAACGTATGTCAAAGAAAACATTTATTGATTTAGCAGAAATGATAGGAAAAAGCGATAAAAAAGATATTAGCAAAACCGTATACAGGTGGACATTATCCAGTGAGTTTATATGGCCATATTTTAATATTCTTGTGGTATAAGGCTACAGAGAATACTTTGTTAAGCATAGGAACTAGATTTAAAGTGTCCCCAACAACAGTAATTAGTGTAACTAATAAGGTGCTCTACTTTATGCTACATCTGAAGTCAGCCTGTATCAAGTTTCCCAAAAATGAAGATGAAGTACAACGAAAATATCCAATACCCGTCAAAATTCTAACTTGTCACATTTCAAATAATAACCAGAAATATAAAACTACTCCTGAGTTGGGTAAATATAACGATTTTGCGGTGATAACTATGACATATAACAGCTGATTCATGAAGTCACGGATCTTATAACCAAACTGATAACCACACTCGCTTGAACGGATCGGTAAATACCAATCTAAAATGGTAAATACCATTTTCATTTGGTTATTCGCTTGAATTTGATTATGGAGTTGTCTCGAGAGTTATCGCGCTATGATTTACCATGAGCTTGAAGTCGGTTTAACTGAACATCAATAAATCGAACGCTTACAACAGGCATTTGGTAATGAAGCTCCGTCCCGGGCAAGTGCGTTTGCTGGCATGCCGAATTTAAGAGAGGGCGTTTCATTGTCGGATGAACGTAGTGGTAGGCCATATTCTAGTGTGACTCCAGAAAATATTGCTAAAGTTCAGTGGCTAATTGAAGAAGATTCTCGCTGCACATATGCGACTATAGAGGAAACTCTTGGGGTAGGATCCGCAACAGTACATACCATTTTCCATGATCATCTTCATTCAAAAAAAGTTGTTGCAGAGGTACAATCACGGCAATGCCACACTGCCCAATTAACTGTACACTTTTTACGCCAGCGCCACATCAAAATGCTAGAGCAACCGCCAGATTTGACAATGTGTGACTTCTGGCTCTTCAAGAATTTGATAAAAAATCCGAGTAGTCGAAAATTTTCGTCCGAAGCGGAAATCCATCAAGCAATTAATCATAATCAAGATGACTTTGAAGAAATCCACCTGAATAAATTCGCGAAGAAATAACTTGTTTACCCCCAGCGTCCCGATCGATCACTCATCATCAAATCGATTTTTATCTCCTGGACTATGACGCAAGCTTCGTGCAGGGTTTCCAGTTGCTAGGCGTGGCGATTTGACGCCTTCAAATAGCGACCAAAATGGATAGCTTGGCGATTGGCTACTTTAGTAACGCCCAGTCAAGGGCGGATTCAGGATTTCGTGTAGGGGGGGAGGGGGGTCGAAAGCGATATTTGGGGCTGGTCATTTTTTAACCCCAGTGTAACTTCTAGAATTTATCCTATTATTGCTCGTTAAATCCATTGTGTTTTATCTGGTCAAGGCCAGCTTGAAAAAAAAACATGGAAAATGCTCAGAAATCCGTAAAAAGGCAATATTTTATTATATGAGAATAAAATAAGTACGTGACATGTATAATTAACTAGTGTAATAATATTAAAGATTCAAACATAAAAACTTCATTGCTGGTAACAACAAAAAAAAAACATTCTGAGGGACTCCGCGACATACCCCAGTCCATTCCACACAAAACAATGTTTTTATTGCGAAAACGATCACGACACGGTTAGGATGGGAGGTCAAAGTTAGGCGGGTCTGTCTGGCAGCCACATCGCGTGGCGGCATCGTGGAAGAGAGCTCTGAGGAGCAAAGCGCGTTGGTGTAGCGGTACAAGAGAGATAAATCATTGTAAAAAACTTTTTGTTAGATAGTAATTATTTTGATAATGTATGTTTGTACGAAAAAAGTACAGGAATATAGGGCTGTACATATTCACGTGTAGTGCAACAGCTCTGTAATTTAAACGAATTCAATATAGCAACATAAGTAAAATACGCGAGAAGAGATTCGGGACGTGCGGTATTGACTTTGAGCATCGATCGACGCAGTTTCTGGACAGGCCACGGGCGCACCGCTAAACAAATCTCATAAATGTCTATTTCCAATTTAGGCGGTCATCTAACATAGTGCTTCGCTGCAACACCAATCCCGAACAAGCTTTACATTTCTTTTCTTTACTTACTGTCGAACGCGGAGGTACCACCCGGCGGATCTCGTAGGCGGAGCCAGAATGTGTGCATGTTGCATGCACACGTGTTCCCTCGCCAGAGTCCGTGTGGCGTTCCCCCTTTCCCCTGTATCCCCCTATAGCCCCACGGTACCCAATGGGTGTTTAGGCCTTAGGCCTTCGTGGTAGTGGGAATATAAAAAAAATTGAGCAATAAACAGAACATAAATCACGTGCAATCTCTATAGCTAATATATTAGGTACCCAGACTTAGATTTGTCACAAGTCACAATACTCGTATATACGTATAAATCGTAAGAATTGTGCTGTAAACAAGTGATGTCAAACAGGGTCAGCATTTGGAATACCAAAGAATACCAAAAAATCGCAATGCTCAGTTCCTATAGCTATAACTTATAGTTAGAATGCTTCTGTCGCCATGATGTGTCCGAAAGTAACACAATGGTGTCAGATTACAAAGCAAGTGTCAGACGTCTTGGGGGGGGCGCCCCCCTCTAAATCCGCCACTGCGCCCAGTATCCAGAAAATTGGCGATATCTGGCGATTTTCAACATTTACTGACGCCAATTAATTTGTAGTCAATTTTTGCTGATATGTGTGTGGATTAATGAAACATGAAACGAGGACCAGAAGTTGTGTGCTTTAAGTACAATGGCGTTTATATCAACGACATCCCATCCTAACACTTTTGACACTGTGTGCTAGATGTAGGATAACTGGGAAAAGGAAAATACGCTAAAAACGCTTGTCCTCCCGTTCTTCAATTTTCAATAGGCGGTAACCCTCCTCCCCGTTTTTCCGTCGTCACACGATCACAAGAACATTGGCTCCCAGAACATAACCATATATACAATATATTTGTATTTTATTTATTATGATGTTTTAGAAAATACTGTTTTGGTCAGTGTTTTTGTTAATTTGTTGTTTTTGATTATTTATTCACTCATTTTATATATACCTTTTTATTTTTTATTTTCATTGTCATAAAACTTTCAAGCTCTAACGTGTATGATTCACATCTTACACTCGTCACAGTCAACCACGATGTGACTTACACCTCTCAGGTGTGATTGATAATCAATCTTCTGACGTCTATTCTCCAACGTCACTGGGTGTGTGTTGATATTTCCTGGAAAGCGGTATTTTGAAAAAACAAATCTCGATATAAAAAGTGCCCCATCCAAGATTTCTTTTTTGCATAATTACATATTACACTGTCGTGTACACGTTAAGCCTACAATAACCCCTAAATACGCGGTTAAGTGCATCATCAGATCATCACCCGATCCGCCTTCTGTGGGTGAACTTATATTTTCGTTCAGATTACACGTGTCTAGCAACCTTACCTACCCCCATTTCCAATGAATTGTTTATCATTCTTAACCCCCCCCCCTCACCACCTCTCGTAAGTTATATTAAAAGTGAGGCCACTTACGCCAGACAGCAGACAACCAGGCTTCGTCATAGCTGTCGGTTACGCACTAACTCTAAAAACGGAGACACATCCAAAAGTTGCTGCAGAATTTACGGGACGTCTGTGAAAAGTTGTAATAATAAGCTACACATACCTGGATGCAGTGTTATGAAGTACTTACATTTATGATTGATTTGGGCCAAGTTTTCTGTGACCTGTCGATATTATGACACCAGCACCCTTCATAGGAGAACCTTAGGTTTGTTCCATAGCCTACTGCCTCACAAACAATTTGGGATACAGGGTTCGGCAGGAACATTCAGCATTCAAGGTGAAAAATATGAACAAAAACCCGAATTCTGTAAAAATGAAACTTGTTGCCGAGTTGTGACTATGCGACCCTTATCCTTGCGGTTACTTCCCGCGCTCGTTGTCAAAGTGACAAGTGACAGAAAGAACTGTAAACTAAAGTGTGAAGTTTTGTGTAAAGAACCGTGGGTGTCAATAAAGGTAAATGCAGCAGTCCAATAACAAAAATAATGAAAATAATTTTATTCCAACTTAGAATGGAAAACCAGACAAAAGAGTGCTAGAAGCTGAAAAATTACTGTGCTACATTTAACTGACACAAAGTTAGTGATATTGTGAAAATTTACGGACTACGTATACAAAATGCCATTTTATTGTATGATTATTTGATTCATTGCATGACCTCTGCATCATAAAACTACATACCACGGCTTTCTGTCACCGCGTAAGATAAAACAAGAGACATCGTCTTTTATGTTTTTCCGAGATTCAGGCGTAGTAAATGTATTTTGCGCATTAACTTCCACTTTAGTTCCAGATTATTGATTCTGATGTGGGGTCGTGGTAGGTTAGGTACTTTTCCTCATAAGTTTTGGGCAAAATTGAAAAAACCTTATTAGAACTTTCTAGGAAAAAGACATACTTTGCGAGAAGTCACTCTACTCTATTCCACTTGTACTATTTTCATAATATATGCCCCTGTACCCCATGACCAGTGTTGCCGAACCGAAAAAGACGAAAACGGTAGATAGGGCCCTGGAAATTAGGTAGATTCAAGGACAAAATCGTTAGGAGAAATAATCAGGGCCGTTGCAAGGTCAGCGGTGATTCACGGGCATTTGCGTCGCGCAGCTCTTTTTCGGGAATAAATCTGGAAATATCTGAATTATGTTGAAAAATCGTGGAAAATGAGGACGTTTCGGTATTTTCTATTTCGGTAGAAACACCGAAAAATCGATAGATTCGGCAACACTGCACGACAGACGAAGTAAAACACGCGGTGAGTGGTTATCGTCGTTTGGCGGTTGTCCAAAAAAGCCTTTGTAAGGTTACCGTGCGCCGCTTTCATCACATTTGTCGGTATTGCCAGATTTTCGGTAAATGTAACTTTGTGTCTATTCCACAGTTTTTTGTACAACTGTGTAAAAGACAGCCTATCAGAGCTTGTAATCTGCAAAACACTTCCGAATGGTATTCTGTCTTATAAAATAGACATGGTGATGTGTGACGAACGCGTCTGAAACTCTAAAAGCAATTCTGGATTACACTTGTGACAAATCTGAAACTGAATCGGTCATAGTCATATTTTTTCCGACCTCTTTTGCAAAATTGCAATTTTAGATATAAGCTACTTCTGCATTAAAGCGCTGGTTTAACCGTATGCGACCAAACTAGTTTTCTTTATTAGACAAAATCATTGATTGCACAAAGGTCAGACGGTTTTTAAAAAAAATCAGAAAATCGGTAATTTTTGCTCAAAAACAAATTTATTGACGGATTCGGGTTCACAATGAAATAGCGTTTGTCACAATTAAGTGTGGAAAATCACATCAGTCATGTGGTGACCGTTTTTGACGATGCATTGCTGGAGGCGTTCTTGATAGTTCGCGTATACGACTCTCCCCAACATCGTTCTCTCAACTTGGATGACTTCCACGCAAATTGCCTCTTTCAAGTCGTCCAGAGTTCGGGGCTGGTGTTCGTATACACGAGCCTTGAGGTGTCTCCATAGGAAAAAATCGCAGATGGATAAATCTGGGGACCGAGGAGGACAATGATCATCACCAAACCTGGAAATAAGGCGACCACGGAAGATAGGGCGAATAACGTCCATCGTTGCTCTGGGTGTCTGGGCTGTCGCCCCATCCAGTTGGAACCACACACGTCGGAATGGAACACGGAACCCGTCGTCGTCGTAATTCAGGTGAAAAGAAGTTGGTGATCATTTCGACATCGTGCTCCGAGTTCACGAAGAAGTAAGTGCCGATGGTGCAAGTTTGTGATACAGCGCACCAAACCGTCACTTTTGGGGTGTGCAACGGTCTTTCATGTAGTATTGTAATCATATATGTATGGTTATCCTGGGCGATGGGTTAAACTGTATATTGCCTAGTCAAACGCCTCAAAGTATCAAAATCATTTGATATCCGGCATTGGAGGGCAAAAACGCCATTTGGGAAGATATTTTCTAAATTCTCCCACCTTACATCTGATATGCAAACCTTCTTGTCTTGTGGTATATTTGAGGACAAACGTGAAATAAGGCAACCATGCAAGAATGAGAGTCAGTTGGTGGGGGTTGATCGAGTGCGCAAGGCTTCTGAAGGGTGACGCAGAAGCATGACAGAACACGAGGGGCAAGGGAAACGTGATAATGGGAGAGGGTGATAAAATGAAAAAAATATGTTTTCTGGTCGACTTACATTGGCGTAACAAGGGGGAGTTTCAAAAGACTGTGAACCCCACCCACATTCTAAGTCCAGCAAAAGATTATAAATGACTATTAAATATAGATCAAAAGCCCTGCCGTCGCTTTAATGCAGAAGAGAGAAAAGAAAACGGATATCTCTCATAGCTAATTGAAATTTGAAAGATCCAACTTGACAAAAAAGTGGTTACAAATACTAACCCCGATCGACGCTGCTTGGCTACAGCGATAGGAGCAGTGTTGCCGAAACGAAAAAGACGTAACATACCGAGAGCCGAAATTGAAGCTTTCATTAAAAACTTTTCTTTTTTAAATCGGTCCTTTTTAGGACCACAGCTTAATAATAAAAAGAAATTCCTGAAAAATTAGTCCAAAAAAATAAAAATACCAGGGATTTCTGTATAAAATATTCTTTGGCCTAAATGTTAGGTTAGGAATAAGATATCGAGATGCGGTTTTCGCGAGCTTGCTTAGACATCATTTAGCTACATTTTCATAAAAAAAATCATTCCAGAGCATTTAATTTTTTTGAGAAGATTAACCAATTCTGCCGGAATATCAAAAAAGCCCTCTAGAGATACAACAAAAATTGTCAGACAAAAAAGTTCACATTATCCTCGACTTTTAAGATCATGTATTTGATAGAGAAATATTTTCCAGGTTTTTCTCTTAGCCGTTTTTGCCGCAAGCCTCTACAATGGATATGTTGCCAGATACAGTACATCGCATTCTTAGTTGGCCACCCTGTACAACAGTACCAACCTTTTTTTGTAGCGGAAAGTGTAAAAATGCCTTCCCCTGTATCCCTCTGTTGCGGTATCTATGGCTTTCGTGGAGGTTCAAGTATAAGCAAATCTTGTTTGCCCGAACCGCTTAACTGCGCGACACTGTCTTGAGAGATATCTGCAGTTCATTTTACATATTGCCTTTGGAGGGTAGAGAGACCTAAATTTTAATAATTCCATTGATTTTTTGCTGGGTTTAAAAAGAGTGCAAATAGTATATAGGGGAAAGGAGATCACCCCTTCGCATAATGTGTATATACGGGTTACAAAAACAGGTATTTTGTCACTACCACTTTTCAGATCGATTGTAAAATTGATGACCTAGTTTTTGAACAACAGAAGTGATTCAAGCAATAAAGTGAAGGCTATTTTGAGGGAGTATGATAATTTTTGAATCTTGTTTTTGAGGAGCTTTAAGAAACTCCAACTAGACAGTCTGATTGGAGTCTCAATATGAAAATGTGTTTCAAACTTTCAAAATAAGAGCTTCTACTCTATGAAACCTTGCCTGGAATACTGTTTTCACAATCTTACGACTGGAATTTTGAGATCTCGACTATTCTATCCGGTAACATTTCCTCTTAAAAATCATTCTTATCAACGGTTTGGTATTTTGGCACTTTTCTAGCGATACGTTAACGGAATTTGTTTTTCTAAGCTCCCATCTATGATGCTTATGAATTCTGGGCCTGCTGAACCGACTTGCAAGGCGCACTGTCCATCATTACAGCTTTATATGTATTACCCTATGAGCAACATCACAGAAAGCGTATTAGAAATCTCCCATGATCCATTGTAGGAAATTTTCATAACGTGAAATTGGTCTTTACTAAGTTTCTATACAGAGTTTCTATACCGTCGGGATGACGAAAATCACGGCAATCATCAATTTTTCAGCCAAATATTTTAAAAAGTAAATAGGCGATAATCTTCTGAAGTTTCAGGAATGTCTCCGGAATTAGTAATAATAAATTATATATATTTGCAGGATTCAGCTCAATAAGCAATCATCGAATTTTTTAAAGAGATCGGTAGAAATAGCGATTAACGTTTCTTATATAAGATTAACAAGCCCTCCACGCTTTTTTTTTTGATAATAAAATGTTTACATTGCCAACAAATGTCCTCACTCCACACTTTCGAAATAATGCTGCTTTTCAAAAATCTCAATAGGATTTCTAAACCTTAGAATCGTTGCCTCTATTTTCAGTTAAAACGATATACATAAAAAAAAATCGAATTGATGTATAGGGTGCGACAGCATAAATTCCTTTTTTAAAATGCTCGTCATTCACTTGGTTGAGTCGTTGCGGAGTAATCAGAATAATTAAGAAAATTTACGGAATCGGATCATTCCTAGATATAGCTCAAGAAGAAACGCATTTAGGCAGAGACAGGTCTATTACAACAGAAAGGAGTATCCCATACAATAAGCCTGATGATAGTTGTAAGGAACAAATAAGCAAGAGAAGCCTATATCATTGACGTTGCAATACCTAACACCAACGTACTCGCTACCATCACAGAGAAAAATCGAAAATATACAGAATTAGCAGACGAAGTGGAGAAAATGTGGAAATTAGACATGGTCAGAATTGTGCCTATTGTTTTATCTGCAGCGGCAGTCATACCAAAAGAGCTTCATAAAAATCTCTAAATACTTGGACTAAGCCAAGAAATATTCAAACCCTTACAGAAAGCTAATACTAAATACGACAAGAATCGCGCCGATTCTTGAGCCAAGAATAGGCGAGAGTGCTCAGGGAGAAACACCCGTATCTCGTCATACGCTAGGAATAACCTGAGATAAAAAGCTATAATAATAATAATAATGCGTTTATTGCCCAACAGTGAATGCCATTTACAGAGCAAGAAGCAGTAGTATAGCTTGCATGGTAGTTACAGCACAAA